AACCTCCGGGAGTGTGTTGTAGTCCTGGGTGCGGGCCTGTTGTCGAGTAACCACAGGGTGAGCTTCTCCTGTGGTGGGTGTCTGGGGCTCAAAAGCAGATGTGAGCCTCCCCAGATCGTTCCCCAATAAAACCTCCGCCGGTAACTGCGGCATCAACCCCACCTCCACATGTCCTGCCCCCGCTCCCCAATGCAAGTGTACCCTCGCTGTAGGTAGCCGGTATACTGCTCCCCCGGCTACCCTGACGGCCACAGTCTTGTTTAGTTTAGCCTGGTCTGAGACCAGGTGACTCTTTACCAGGGTGATGGTGGCTCCTGAGTCACGTAGCCCCTGAACCGCTTTACCCTCCAGATACACGGTCTGCCTGTGATGCTGGCGGTTGTCAGCATTAGCCTGGACTGGATCCGCCTCGTGCAGTACTTCCCACTGTTCTACAGTTGTAATGGGAACCGCTGAGCCATATGGTGTGGCCACGATGTCCTGGTAGTGGTGGGCTGCGGCTGCTCTCGGTGGTGGTGGTGGACCGGGCCGGATCCAGGTGGAACGGTCCCGCAGCTGGGGGCATTCCCTTTTATAATGTCCCCATTTCTGGCAGTGGTGGCAGGGGCCCGACGTGGGCTGGCGGAAACGTGGCTGTGCAGCGGGCGGTGGTGGTGGTGGCAGTGGTCTCGGTGGAGCTGGAGTGTAGCTGTTTCCCCCAAAGGTTTTAAAAGGGACTTTTGTAGCTGCAGGTTTTTGCTGCCTGCGTGCATCTAGGTACTCATCTGCCTTCCTGGCTGCTTCGGTAAGGGAGGTAGGGTTTCTGTCTCTTACCCACTCCTGTACCTCGCTGGTTACTCCTTCATAAAATTGCTCCATCAGTACCATTTGTAATACATCCTCCATAGACCCCAGGACTGCCCTTTGTAGTCTGCATGCCCACTCGGCATGTGAGTCTTTCTCCACCTTCTTTAAATCCCTGAATCTCCGCCGGTATGCTTCTGGTGTTATAGCATACCTGGCCAATATAATTTCTTTAACTTTATTGTAATTCCTTATTTCTTCATTGGGTACAGTACGATATGCCTCAGCTGCCCTCCCAGTTAACCTTCCTGCCAAAATGGGTACCCAGTCCTCTGCGCTGATTCTATGCAGTGTACACAGTCTCTCAAAATCTTGCAGGAAAGCGTCTATATCTTCCTCTGCCTCCACATATGTTTTAAAAGCCTGGTATGGTATTTTAGGCTTACCTTCTTGTGGCATATTTACTGCAGAGCTGCGTTCTGGGGTTGCTGTTTGATTTCTCAGTACAAATTCCTGGACTTCCGTCATAGTTTTTGAAATAATTTCTGCTGGAGGGTGTTCCCCATAGAAAGATAGCCTAAATTGTAGCTGCCTCTGGAACTCCCTCTGTTCCGGTGTTTCTCCCGAATTCCCCTGTTCGGGAACCGAATCGTCCTCCATTCGGTACTCCGCCATAAGTTCAGTAATGAGTACCGCTTTCTTCTTATTGCTGGCTTGTATACCCCTTGCCTCCAGGAGGTCTTTTAGCGTGGAGCGTTTTAGTGTGGCAAAATCAATCTCCATCCGTACTCCATTTATGCTTGTTCCTCTGTGAGTCTGGATCCCACCGCTGCCACCAATGTAGCGGAGATGCAATATTCCCCAGGTTATCTCCGCTTATAATCCAAGTGAGGCTCAGGAACAAGTAAATAGTAAATCCACAGGCAAAGCTTCCAGCAGGTAAAATACAGCAATATCCCCACAGCAATCCCAATAACTGGACGACACACAGTTTCAGGAGCATAACTGAAAGCTTTAATCCACAGTCTCCTTTTAAAGCATGCTCCCATGCAAGGGAGGGATTTACAATAATTATTACAGTAGCCAATCCTGTCCTGGTAACCTCCCACACATCTCCTCCCCTCAGCCAGCATCATAATCCCCTTATCCAGTACAGTAATTCCCCCCGTTTCTGGATGTACCCCTAAACGTAGGGGTACCGCTTTAAATCCTACATCCCCGGATACCCCTGATCTGGGTGAACAACATATCCAAAAATCACCCAGATCAGACCAGGGGTTCGGGAAATGTATGGAGGGAATAAAATGACCGACCGCACTAACTGAGATAGCCGAATGAGGTTCCATGCGAATGGGCCCTGCGGTCGGTCCTGGCATAAGGGAATTAAATACACGAAAACCTCTAGCTATAGAGGCTAGGGAGGGTTCGCCTGAATCCCCTCGTTCGGTTCTTTCTATCTACCGAACGAGGGGCCGTTCGGTAGTTAGGAACCGAACGGACCGGGCTTGTGGAGGTCTCAGCGGTGTTCGCCTACTCGAGTGTCCGATTTTAGTTCCAGACACTCGACGGCAAAACACCGGTGTTCGGGAGTTTTAAAATGGCCGCCGCCACGTGTTCGTTTGTCGAGAACAAAGGACGGCTACTTACTAGGCAATTACCCGTTCGCAACCATGTTGCAACGGGTAATTGAGGACACACTTCACACAGGGGAGGTCTGGTTGTTCGGTAGTTTCATTCGAATGAACTACGGGAATGAAACTACCGAACAATCAGAGGAATACAATTCTTTTAAAAGACATATAACACAGCAGATCACACGAATGCAGTTATGTACAATATATTTGCAGGATAGCCTGGTGCCATCCGCTACAATGTACCCAGCTGTATCCAGTGGGCCCATGGACCAGCCCGCTTGTCTAAACATCTGATTATTTAATAGTCATCTTAAATATGTCCAGTTCCTGTGCTATATAAGAAATATATTTCATTGTTTTAAAGAGCAATTGCAGTTGGCTTATAACAATATAGAGAGAAACAGAATACAAGCAGTGCACCTTGAAGAAGGTGAGATTCTATATGGTACTGTATGTTAGTTAACTTATTCCTTTAGAAATCTGAAAAGGTCTTAGAAAAAGTAAATGAACTGCCATGAGCTACCAAGTCACCATTTTAAATCTGTGAATTGATTAATTTTGCTTCTCCTACAAGTCACATAATGGACTGAATTTCAAAGGATCATGTAACACCACAGGTTTGATCTCCCATGGCCTGTTAATTGTTAGCAATACGGAGCAAACTCAATTGAATTTTCCAGTGTTCCCAATTTATTTTACAGGTGGCATTACAAAGATTGAAAGCCTTATGGTTTAAAGAGTTACTCCAAGCATCATAACAACTACATCCTTTTTTGCAATGGTTTGCCCTCTAACATGGGTCTCTACACGATGCCAAGGGTCCTCAAATGGCTGGTCCTATCTGTCATTCTTTGGCTGAGTCCATCAGAAACAAACACACACACTTCTGCACAGTGAAGGAACTAATTTAGAGAAAGCACTGGTGCAAGAAAGTTTTTTGGGCCCCCTTCAAATGTAAGAGAGACTTAAATATAGATTAGATCAACATCTGTCGTACAGTCCCAGGAGGTTATGGCAATTTTCGGCTTACCCGAAGATGGAGTTGGACAGATAAGGCAGTTTCGCAGTAAAGTAAGAGACAGAATCCTTTTTTGCAATGGTTTGCCCTCTAACATGGGTCTCTACACAATGCCAAGGGTCCTCAAATGGCTGGTCCCATCAGTCATTCTTTGGCTGAGTCCATCAGCTGGACACTCTTGGCTAATGAATGACATTGATTGCATATAAATAGTGTCCTGGACTAAATAATGAAAGATCAATGACTTTGTTGGAAGAAGAGTTACAGCAAAGGGAATAAACGCTGTACATGCAGCAGTTTATAAAAAAACGCTGCATATACAGATTCCGTGGGGCCACACTGAAGTAAATGAACATATATATATATATATATATATATATATATATATATATATAAATATTTTTTATTCTGTTACCTTTCCTGGAGTGGGCCTTTTTATTTCTGACTTCATTGTGGCAGATGATTTTCCCTTTCTTGTTTCTACACTCCTGGAAAAAGTCGCCTATGACAGAAAAATAAATGATTCAATTCAAATAATTCAAATATCATGAGAAAATATTGAGAGCGAGGAACAGATTTCTTGTTAAGCAGCTTAGGCACTTGACTGATGGGGCACCTACTCTGTTAAAAGCCCCATCCCTATCTCCTGCCAGGTGTTTGCCTGATTGGAGCACAGGCTGCAGGACTCTGGAGTCACTATATTTTGTCTGAGGATTCAGATTGAACATCGTGATCTGCCATAGCCCCACCCCCTCAGACTGAACACAGTAATCTGTTCATGACCCCACCTCCTCAGACTGAACACACAATCTAAGCATGGTCCCACATCCTCAGACTAAACACAGCATTCTGGGCATAGCCTCACCCCACCAAACTGAACAAAGCTATCTCCAGGAGGGAAAGGGGAAAAGACTATGACCAAAATGGACAACTCATAAATGTATGATAGGTACATAAAACTAAACTGACACACACTGGTAGGACGTATTTCTGCCTACTCTGTACACACACAATAAAGGCATAGTACTACTCATCCTTAGACAAACACACACACTTTTACACAGTGAAGGAACTAATTTAGAGAAAGCACTGGTGCAAGAAAGTTTTTTGGGCCCCCCTCAAATGTAAGAGAGGTTTAAATATAGATTAGATCTCCATCTGTCGTAGAGTCCCAGGAGGTTATGGCAATTTTCAGCTTACCCGAAGATTAAGTTGGACAGACAAGGCAGTTTTGCAGTAAAGTAAGAGACAAAATCCTTTTTTGCAATGGTTTGCCCTCTAACATGGGTCTCTACACGATGCCAAGGGTCCTCAAATGGCTGGTCCCATCAGTCATTCTTTGGCTGAGTCCCTCAGCTGGACACTCTTGGCTAATGAATGACATTGATTGCATATAAATAGTGTCCTGGACTAAATAATGAAAGATCAATGACTTTGTTGGAAGAAGAGTTACAGCAAAGGGAATAAACGCTGTACATGCAGCAGTTTATAAAAAAACGCTGCATATACAGATTCCGTGGGGGCACACTGAAGTAAATGAACATATATATTTCTTATTCTGTTACCTTTCCTGGAGTTCCTGTTACCTTTCCTGGAGTGGAATTTTTTATTTCTGACTTCATTGTGGCAGATGATTTTCCCTTTCTTGTTTCTACGCTCCTGGAAAAAGTCGCCTGTGAAAGAAAAATAAATTATTCAATTCAAATAATTCAAATATCATGAGAAAATATCAAGAGCGAGGAACAGATTTCTTGTTAAGCAGCTTAGGCACTTGACTGATGGGGCACCTACTCTGTTAAAAGCCCCATCCCTATCTCCTGCCAGGTGTTTGCCTGATTGGAGCAGAGGCTGCAGGACTCTGGAGTCACTATATTTCGTCTGAGGATTCAGATTGAACATAGTGATCTGCCATAGCCCCACCCCCTCAGACTGAACACAGTAATCTGTTCATGACCCCACCTCCTCAGACTGAACACATAATCTATGCATGGCCCCACACCCTCAGACTGAACACAGCATTCTGGGCATAGCCTCACCCCACCAAACTGAACAAAGCTATCTCCAGGAGGAAAAGGGTAAAAGACTATGACCAAAATAGACAACTCATAAATGTATGATAGGTACATAAATCTACAATGACACACACTTGCAGGAAGTATTTCTGCCTACTCTGTACACACACAATAAAAGACATAGTACTACTCATACTTAAACAAACACACACACTTCTACATAGTGAAGGAACTAATTTAGAGAAAGCACTGGTGCAAGAAAGTTTTTTGGGCCCCCCTCAAATGTAAGAGAGGCTTAAATATAGATTAGATCTCCATCTGTCGTACAGTCCCAGGAGGTTATGGCAATTTTCGGCTTACCCAAAGATGGAGTTGGACAGACAAGGCAATTTTGCAGTAAAGTAAGAGACAGAATCCTTTTTTGCAATGGTTTGCCCTCTAACATGGGTCTCTACACGATGCCAAGGGTCCTCAAATGGCTGGTCCCATCAGTCATTCTTTGGCTGAGTCCATCAGCTGGACACTCTTGGCTAATGAATGACATTGATTGCATATAAATAGTGTCCTGGACTAAATAATGAAAGATCAATGACTTTGTTGGAAGAAGAGTTACAGCAAAGGGAATAAACGTTGTACATGCAGCAGTTTATAAAAAAACGCTGCATATACAGATTCCGTGGGGGCACACTGAAGTAAATGAACATATATATTTCTTATTCTGTTACCTTTCCGGGAATTCCTGTTACCTTTCCTGGAGTGGAACTTTTTATTTCTGACTTCATTGTGGCAGATGATTTTCCCTTTCTTGTTTCTACGCTCCTGGAAAAAGTCACCTGTGAAAGAAAAATAAATGATTCAATTCAAATAATTCAAATATCATGAGAAAATATCGAGAGCGAGGAACAGATTTCTTGTTAAGCAGCTTAGGCACTTGACTGATGGGGCACCTACTCTGTTAAAAGCCCCATCCCTATCTCCTGCCAGGTGTTTGCCTGATTGGAGCACAGGCTGCAGGACTCTGGAGTCACTATATATATAAAGGGAATCAACACAGTAAAGGAGGAGACTATATTTAAAAGAAGGAAAACTACCACAACAAGAGGACATAGTCTTAAATTAGAGGGACAAAGGTTTAAAAATAATATCAGGAAGTATTACTTTACTGAGAGGGTAGTGGATGCATGGAATAGCCTTCCAGCTGAAGTGGTAGAGGTTAACACAGTAAAGGAGTTTAAGCATGCGTGGGATAGGCATAAGGCTATCCTAACTATAAGATAAGGCTAGGGACTAATGAAAGTATTTAGAAAATTGGGCAGACTAGATGGGCCGAATGGTTCTTATCTGCCATCACATTCTATGTTTCTATCAGGGGGGATATGATAGAAACATTTAAATATAATATAATATATACTATATTTCGTCTGAGGAATCAGATTGAACATAGTGATCTGCCATAGCCCCACCCCCTCAGACTGAACACAGTAATCTGTTCATGACCCCACCTCTTCAGACTGAACACACAATCTATGCATGGCCCCACACCCTCAAACTGAACACAGCATTCTGGGCATAGCCTCACCCCACCAAACTGAACAAAGCTATCTCCAGGAGGAAAAGGGGAAAAGACTATGACCAAAATAGACAACTCATAAATGTATGATAGGTACATAAAACTACAAAGACACACACTGGTAGGAAGTATTTCTGCCTACTCTGTACACACACAATAAAAGACATAGTACTACTCATACTTAAACAAACACACACACTTCTACATAGTGAAGGAACTAATTTAGAGAAAGCACTGGTGCAAGAAAGTTTTTTGGGCCCCCCTCAAATGTAAGAGAGGTTTAAATATAGATTAGATCTCCATCTGTCGTACAGTCCCAGGAGGTTATGGCAATTTTCGGCTTACCCGAAGATGGAGTTGGACAGACAAGGCAGTTTTGCAGTAAAGTAAGAGACAGAATCCTTTTTTGCAATGGTTTGCCCTCTAACATGGGTCTCTACACGATGCCAAGGGTCCTTAAATGGCTGGTCCCATCAGTCATTCTTTGGCTGAGTCCATCAGCTGGACACTCTTGGCTAATGAATGACATTGATTGCATATAAATAGTGTCCTGGACTAAATAATGAAAGATCAATGACTTTGTTGGAAGAAGAGTTACAGCAAAGGGAATAAACGTTGTACATGCAGCAGTTTATAAAAAAAAACGCTGCACATACAGATTCCGTGGGGGCACACTGAAGTAAATGAACATATATATTTCTTATTCTGTTACCTTTCCTGGAGTTCCTGTTACCTTTCCTGAAGTGGAACTTTTTATTTCTGACTTCATTGTGGCAGATGATTTTCCCTTTCTTGTTTCTACGCTCCTGGAAAAAGTTGCCTGTGAAAGAAAAATAAATTTTATTAAAGACCCGGAGGCTCCTATTATGCTGCACTCTTTCTTTAATACCCTCAGCAGCAAAGAATACATTATTGAAGAAAAATAAACATTTGAACTAGGTATAACATCATAGTGACAATGTCCGCCTAGTAACATGACCATCCAATCAGTGCCATCCTTCTCCTATAGTAGGCGGAGCATTGATGATCATCATTTAATTGTTTCTTTATATTAATCTACATTCATGGGTACCTTTTACTGGTACTGACTGGATTGTACCTTTATATAAACTTTCAAACCCCTATTGTACATTTAAATACTTTGCAAACCTGTTCCACTATTCCACTCTGTCATGACTTGACCCCTTATTCTAACTGCCCTGATATTCAGGGACTTGGCCGGTCTGGGGGTCTGTCTCCAGGTACTACTTTGATTTCGCCGGCATTTGGCCCGTCTGCGCATGTGCGCCCAGTCAGGACTCCCCCAGCGGCCATCTTCCGCTCCGGCTGTATGCCGCGGTCGGATTTAATTCTGACCGCGCATCCAGCCGCACTACACCTCTCCCTCCCCGTGCGGCCGTGTATCAATAAGTTACCGTTACCGGCGGAAACCTTGCATCCGCATTTTACATTCTGCTTCTAACCACGGCGGCCATCTTATTGGTTCCTGCCGGCGCGGCAGCCATTTTCTTCCGCTTTTTTCCCGCCCTTTCACTCTGCAACGCCCACTCCGTCCCTTGATCGGTGTTGGTGTCCAGTATTAGTGGCGGACGGTTCCCTTTTCTCCTGCTCCCCCCCATTATTTTGATAAATAGCTGTAAGTGATTGTACTGCTTTACTTTACTATTTATTGTGTTCTGGTATTTTCAGCTGGGTTACTTAACCCTGCTCCCAACTCTTGCTATTAAATTCATTGACTAAATCCTGCCTGTCAGTTAAATTGCTTGCTAGTAAATTCATTGACTATATCCTGCCTGTCAGTTACACTGCACTAATGCAATCTGCTAATGATTTACCTGGTCCCTCGGGGACAACAACTGACCCTCATACAGCATTGGGTTTTCCTCCTGTAGTTTCTGGGGATGAACTGGATTTCCCAGCATCAGAGGAAATTCAGGCTATCATGGACACTACTGTGTCCAAGTCTGTCTCTAAAGCCCTGGCATCTGCCATGGACATTATGTCTTCATCTATTTCAAAATCATTTACCCAGGCACTAAGGCAGGCCCAATGCATGGTCCCTCCGACTGCCATGCCAGTCGCGATACTATCCATTTCTCACCCATCACGCCCCGGCCGCAAAGCCTCGGCAAAAACCAAGCACTCCTCCAAATTAACGATGGACAGTAGAAACACCTGTCACAGATGGCGCGAATATTGATCCACCGCGCAAAAGAGCCTCTAGCAGGGCAAAAGCGGCTAGGCATTGGAAGTGGGCTAAAGCCCAACCTGATTCCACTGAGTCAGAACTCAGTTCAGATGAGGAGAGTGCCCCTACCCTAGACTCAGATCAGTCTAACGATTTGTCCGACCTAGATTTGGAGTACGGCATTGATGAGGTGTGTAATCCCTCTACTAAAATAAATACCACAAGCACGTCCAGGTGCGATTTGATCAAACAGGGAAAAATCCTTGACCCACAGGGCGAACCACTGTTTGAGCCGGATGACTTACGTCACCCCCGCTCTGCGGAATGGTCACCAGCCGAGCATGTGGCACAATATGTCGCCTCACGGGTCCGTAAGCCTCTGGACAAGGCAACACGTAATAAACTGAGGGCTGAATGCCCACGCCCCACCGTACCAGACGAGGTCTGTAAGACACCCCAAGTCGATCCCAAGATCATACAATTTTTAAGCAAGACAGGTTGGAAACCTAAGAAAGGTCTAGACTTTTCGCTTTATAATTGCCAAGACAAAGTCTTGGATATCTTAGGTCCAGCGACCAAAATTTTTAAAGCTGTGGAGGAATCCTTGGCACAAGATGACGTCTTAGATCGCCTCACTATTAGAGGTTGGATTCAGAGGGTGATATGCTTCATAGGCAATGCCAATACCGCTCTGGCTACAGAGCGTCATAAATCTATTCTAATTAAAATAGAACCCAAGCTCGTAAATATGGCAATTACTGAGCCAGGAGCCCTAGCAAAAGGGTATCTTTTTGGAGAGTCTTTTGTAAAAGACCTGGGATCTTATGTACAAACATTCATGGCCTTAGACAAGGCACAATCAAATCTAAAAAGGGTGTTCCACCCAAAGGTTTTTGGTGGGGCCGGCAGAGCAAGGGGCCGTCTGTCCAGCAGAGTCAATAGATGTCAGGGTCCCGCGGGCGGCTGCGAGGGGAGGTTGCAGTCCGCTCGCGGCACTCACCCTCCAGCCGTCCGCGGTCCCCTTCCTGGCGTGTGCTCAGCGGGCGGCATCCTCCCAGCCGCCCGCGTCTTCCTCTGTGTCCCCCAGCGGCAGCATGCATGACGCTGCACGCTGGGAGACCGCCCGTTTTAACAAACGCCGGGGTCAGTCACCTGACCCGGTGTTAAAGGCACAGTGCCTCAATCACAGTGGGAGGTTTAGATATCTCCCATGTGTGATTGTTAATTCTGATTGGAAATTATCCAATCAGAGTTAACCTATGGATTTATATACTTACCTTTCCTGTTCCTCTCCGCCCTGTTGTTGTCTTTACTTGCTAGTATTACTTCTGAACTTGTGTTTCTGGTTACGTACTCTCTGGCTTGTTTATCCGACTTTGTGACTTTCTCCTACCCTTTGACCTCAGCTTGTCTATCGTTATTCTGTCTTCTGGTTCCCCTTACTCGGCTTGTCTCCTGAGTATTCTTTGTGTGCTTAGCCCGGCCACTCTAAGGTCCGGTACGGCACTTTGTGTGTGTGTGTGTTGGCGTGTTAGGTTCCCCGAATCGTGACATTACAACAGGGCCATAATGGAACCTGCTGACATTCCACAGCTCCTAGTTAATCAGGAGGCTAGAATGGATGGTTTAGACCACCGTATGGATCAGTTTGCCCAAGCTTTACAAACCATACTGGCTCGTACTGCACACTTGCAACCTGCCGTTCAGGAGGCTGCTGCTGCTGTGCCCGAACCCATTCCCACTCCGGTACCCGTACCTGCTCATGTTATTCATATGACGCCCCCACAGCGCTACAGCGGTGACCCAGCATTGTTTCGTGGTTTCCTCAACCAAATTGATATTCATTTGGTGATGAATCCACGTTCCTATCCCACCGACAGATCCAAAATTGCCTTTTTGATAAACCACTTGTCCGGGAAAGCTTTAGCATGGGCTAACCCCATGTGGGAGAATACGTCTCCTATGTCCTTTGCAGATTTCTTGACAGCTTTCAAACGTACGTTTGATCAACCCGGTAGGGTTGCCTCTGCTGGCAAAGCTCTGCTTAGGGTCCGACAGGGTAACAGATCTGTAGCGGATTATACTATCGAATTCCGCACTCTAGCAGCTGAAGTGGTTTGGAATAATGACGCCCTCGTAACAGCCTTTCAGGAGGGTTTGGCCGCCTACATACTGGATGAAATAGCATCCAGGGAATTGCCTGTTCTTCTGGATGATGTTATAGATTATGTAATTCTTATTGATAACCGTATTAGAGAGAGGCGTAGTCAAAGACGGATGGATACACAGGCGTTACCTGCTCTACCCTCTACTGCATTACTAGCACTACCCGCTCCTAGGCAACCATCCCCCGAACCCATGCAATTGGGTGCTACGGGGCTAACTGAGACTGAAAGAGCATATCGTAGAAGGGAAGGGTTATGCCTTTATTGTGGAAAGAGGGGGCACCACTGTAATACCTGCCCTAAGTTACAGGGAAACTGCAGCACCTAAGGCCTAGAGAGGGGTCGGCCTCGGGTGTTATGACTTTGTCCCCTCATATGTCCATCTCCAGACCGTTTATTACGGTGTCTCTTTTGGTCAATAAAACCACTATAACAACCAAAGCCTTGATCGATTTAGGTGCGGCAGACAACCTTATGGATGAGAACTTTGCTAAAACCGCAGCCTTGACTTTGATCCAAAAGGCCACACCCTTGGCCGTTGAGGCCATAGATGGTAGACCACTTGAGAGACCTCTGGTGACCCATGAGACCCAAGAAATAGTGATGTCTGTGGGTGTTTTGCACAAGGAAAGGTTAACCTTCCAAATAATTGACTCCCCTACTGCTTCCATCGTTCTGGGTTTTCCCTGGTTAGCGAAACACAACCCTGTACTCGATTGGGGTTGTTTAGATATACTCTCCTGGGGGGAATCCTGTCAACGAGATTGTATGGCTCATGTACGTCCTGTTTGTTTACTCAACGTGCCCACGGCTAAACCAATTTCTGTTTCTGTCCCTTCTGTATATGCAGACCTTGCATTGGTTTTTGAAAAGAGGGAGGCAGATAAGCTACCTCCACATCGTGACTATGACTGTGCCATAAACCTGTTACCGGGTACTATGCCACCTAGGGGTAAGGTCTACCCTCTTTCTGAGAAAGAAAACCAGGTCATGGAGGAGTACATACGGGAATCCTTAAGGAAAGGTTTTATTAGAAGGTCCTCCTCTCCTGCTGGTGCTGGTTTCTTTTTTGTGGCAAAGAGGAGGGCGATTTGAGGCCATGTATAGATTATAGGGCTCTGAACAATATAACGATTAAAAACGCCTACCCTATCCCCCTCATCACTGAGTTGTTTGATCGTGTTAAAGGTTCTAAGTACTTTACTAAATTAGACCTCAGGGGGGCTTATAACCTTATCCGTATAAAGGAGAATGATGAGTGGAAGACAGCGTTCAATACGCGTAGTGGGCATTACGAATACCTGGTCATGCCTTTTGGACTGTGTAATGCTCCTGCTGTGTTTCAGGATCTCATAAATGATGTCCTAAGGGATCTATTGCATGTCTGTGCCGTGGTGTACCTTGACGACATACTTG